GTTGCAATTAGGATGCTAACAAAAATTTATCAAGCTGTCATATGGAATTTATTAGTATACAATAACGAAAGTGAAGTTGTTAAGAAATGACCATAAAAAAAAAAAGGCTGCAACTTTGCAACTTGAGGCACGAGCAAAGAACATTACCCATGTGACATGATTCCTACATGATCAGTCTTGTCTTCTACGTTACACACAATTCCGTATCCACTAATCCACCTAAAGATAAATTAAATGCTTCTGAAATACAAGTATAATCTAAATCAAATAAACAAACACTTTGAAATCTATTAAGTTGACTCAAAATTTTGATGTTTTTTCATCTGTATTATTTGTACCACTGCTGTGTTTATCACTCTTCAATTCTTGTCAACTTGTAATGTATTTATTAATCAGCTTATTTGAAAGATGTAATGTTGAATTAAACTAGGATATGACCCGCGGTACACCGCGGGTTAATTATTTGATTTTTTTATTTTTATAAATTGATGAATTTATTGTGTATAATATTTTTTGTTGTATACCGCGGATCACATGCGTTATATCTAAAATAAAAAATTTTAAGTTGTATTTGTTTTGTTTAGTGTTTAAGATTGTATAATTGTATTTTGATTTGTTATTTATAGGATTTCACCTGTGGTATATTGTCTCGTATTAATATTGACCCAAACCCGTCCAACCATATAATCTAAAATGAAATTAAACATCATTTTGTTATTTTTTTAATAACACTTTTATTTAAATGTCATATAATTCGAGTTAATTTGAAAGTTGCTTTCAAATAGTTTCCATGTATATTTTTAAATTAGTGTGTGTTTTTGGACCAACCCGTAAAAACAATTTATAATTGTATCTTAAAATACTAATTAGGATTTCACCCGTGATATACTGTCCCATTTTAGATAATTGTAAAAATTAAAGAAAGATCCGAATGACTCAATTTCGGGTCTGAATAAAATAACGACATGATTAAATGCTCAATTTGTTCTTAAAAATGTTAATATAGATTACACACATATTTTTATTCATCGATTGAGTAATATATGTCCGTTTTAAAAAATTTGAATTGTAACATATGCAGAAAAAAAAAAACTAAAATTTACTAACTATTTATATATTTTATAATAATTTAAAATAATATAAATATAAGATCAAATAAAAGTGAAATAAGAATCATATATTTATGTTTAAATTAGGTAGAGAGGTTTTAGGAAATTAATGCAAATTTGTTATATTAGCATTAAATCATCATATTTGATTTCTTTATCTATAAAAATCGTGGAGAATATACCATAAATAAAGCGTTTAAATATAGTAATTAGTTGAGAAAGTATATATATTTTAGATTTTATTAATTATTTTCGTTTTTTAATTTTGCCAAAATTTAAGGAAAGATCCGATTGAAGATTTCCGGGTCAAAATTAAACAAATTTGACCCGATTTGGGTACCCAAAAACTGCTGCAAAAATGTATAGTAGATAATTGAATATCAGTAGTTAAGCCAGAGATGCGAAACAACACGTAGTTTTCATCTCCTCGGTGAAAACGGCAGGGCTGGCAAAATCACGAATATTTGAATGGGCCTCGTGGAAACTGAAGGCCCAATATAAAATGTAATGGGCCTAAAAAGCGTTTTGTTTTAGGGTTAGTGTGCGGTGGTTACATGAGATCATAGCCCACGAGTGGGTAAGGAGTGTCTTCATCATCCACCGGAGATCGAGAAATAGCCGACGAAGTTTGTTTTGAGTAAAACAGTATTCGTCGGACAACCGAAGCGAAATCCCTAATTTCCCAACACGAAATACCAATTTCCCCAATTCGAAAACAAACACGGTCGGGTATGCCGAGAAAATTCTCCATTTCTACTTTTCTTATACATTTGTTTTGGTTGTTTCGTAGACTACTCTCATCTTCTTCGATTTTGTTACCCTCCCCCATAAAAAAAAAATGGATAAACCCTAGTTTCTTTCTCAGACTGTTTCAAGTTCAGATTTTTACCTTTATTTCTGAGCTGAAGCTGGTGAGTTATTTGCTTTCTGGGTTTTTGTTTTCTGGAGAGATGTGTCAGTTACGATCTCTAATTTCATTGGTTGCTTCGGGTGTGACTTGATTCGTTCTGTTATCAATTTGACTGCTTTATAAGTTGAATTTGGATCTGGAATCACAAAAAGTCTGCTCTTTTTCAAAGTTTTGATATTTATCGCATTATACGTTTGTTTCATGGTAGCAATGAACTTCATTTCTTCTGTTTCCCTGCCACTAAAAGAGTCTAACTTTAAGTTTGATACATCCTTTCTTCGAAAAAGAGCAGCTTTCTTCTTATATTACCCAATTCTGCTTCTCTTTTTGTACATTTTTTTGGTGTATGGTTCTATATCATATCTCAGTGATTCTTCCTGGTTAAAAGAGTATGGTTATTGGATGACCAGATATCGTTTGCAAGAACCTCATGTCAGACGCTAGAGATAATGATGACCGTGTTGATTTCGAGGAGGGTAGCTACAGTGAGATGGAGGATGAAGTGGAGGAGGAACAAGTAGAAGAGTATGAAGAGGAGGAAGAAGAAGACGAAGATGATGATGACCGTGGCAATCAGAATGCCGAAGAACGTGACGTGGAAGATTATGGTGATACAAAAGGAGGGGATATGGAAGCTCAGGAGGAAATTGCTGAAGATGACGACAACCATATTGATATCGAGACCGCAGATGATGATGAGAAACCAGCATCTCCTATTGATGAGGAAGAAAGGGAAAAGTATTCCCATCTTCTTTCACTTCCTCCTCATGGATCTGAAGTTTTTATTGGCGGGCTCCCGAGGGATGTTGGAGAAGAGGACCTGAGGGATCTATGTGAAGAAATAGGCGAGATCTTCGAGGTTGGAACTACAATAATCTATGTCTTTCATCTAGCAGCATCATGCTCTTTGTTGGTTCTGTATTTACGGCTGACTTTTAACTTCTTTTCTATTAGGTGAGACTGATGAAAGATAGGGACTCTGGTGATAGCAAAGGCTATGCTTTTGTAGCCTTCAAAACGAAAGATGTTGCACAAAAGGCCATTGAGGACTTGCACAGTAAAGAGTTTAAGGCAATCTCAACTGCTAACTGTAGCTTAAGTTTATCAATCATTGCTAGTTTACATTTTACTTATATAACAACTTTAATTTAACTTATATCTGATTTTTGTTCAGGGAAAAACCATAAGATGCTCTCTTTCCGAAACGAAGAATAGGTTGTTCATTGGTAACATACCAAAGAACTGGACTGAGGATGAGTTTAGAAAAGTCATAGAGAATGTTGGTCCTGGAGTGGAGAACATCGAGCTCATAAAAGTAAGAAGACTTAATCAATCTGATTGCCATGCTTAATCTTACTTAAGCCTTACTAATTATCTTCTTGTTGCTTGTAGGACCCAGCAAATACCACTCGTAACCGTGGTTTTGCATTTGTTTTATACTATAACAATGCATGTGCTGATTATTCAAGGCAGAAAATGATAGATTCTAATTTTAAGCTTGAGGGTAACGCTCCAACTGTGACTTGGGCAGACCCAAAAAGCTCTCCTGAGCATTCTGCTGCTGCTGCTCAGGTATTATTTAAATAGAGGGTTTAGTCAATCTGCAAATCCTCTCTCCTGACCAAGTTGGCACTTTTTTGAAAAATCTCTTTTGCGCTATATACTCAGGTGAAAGCCCTTTATGTCAAGAATATTCCAGAGAATACCTCAACAGAGCAGCTAAAGGAACTCTTTCAGAGGCATGGAGAAGTGACAAAAATCGTTACGCCACCTGGAAAGGGTGGAAAACGTGATTTTGGGTTTGTCCACTATGCTGAAAGATCTAGTGCATTGAAGGCTGTCAAAGATACTGAGAGATATGAAGTCAATGGTAAGTTTTTTTAGTCATCTAAAAAACAGCTATTGAGTATTATGAACATTATGCTTTCACTTTCTCTCGAATGGCATTTGTTTTTTCATCTCAAGAGATGTTATTGAGTATCACATTCCACAAACTTGCAAACTACAGGTCAACCACTAGAAGTTGTGCTTGCTAAACCCCAGGCTGAAAGGAAGCATGACCCTTCTTCTTATTCTTATGGCGCTGCTCCTAATCCTGCCCCCTTTGTGCATCCCACGTTTGGTGGTTTTGCTGCGGCTCCTTATGGTGCTATGGGTGCCGGTTTGGGTATTGCCGGTAGTTTTAGTCAGGTATATATGTTTCTAAGAAAGAGCTGTTTGTCATCCTTAAGTAGTCTTATCAGCCATTTTTTTGTGTGTAACGTTTGGTGTTTAATTTTGCATTGAGCAGCCAATGATATATGGTAGAGGAGCAATGCCAACAGGGATGCAAATGGTTCCAATGCTTCTTCCCGATGGCCGAGTTGGCTATGTTCTGTAAGTTGATGGTTCTTGTAACCAAAGTTGTTGATCCTTCTCTATTGATTCATATTTACATTCGCTTAATAACCAATATGGATTGTTGTGCAGGCAACAGCCTGGTATGCAGATGGCAGCAGCACCACCAGCACGACCCAGAAGAGTTGACCGGAATAACGGATCAAGTGGAGGGTCAGGCCGAGATAACAGTCATGAACATGATGGTAACAGAGGAGGCCGAAGGTACCGACCCTACTAGCAACCATAGAGAAAATAAGCAAGTAGAAAAAGAAAAGGAGAGGTGTATTGGGATTTGTTTGTAGTTTGTTTCTTTGGAGAACTTTAAAAGCTCTCTCTCATGTGTTATAAAATATGAAATCGAAACCTTACGGTTTCCGATTTGATATGGAGACTGCTGGGGGATAGGGTGAGTGATTTGATCTTAAATTATGAGACTTTTTTTTTTCTCTTCTGAATAATACTCTTCTCAATTATCCATCAGGTTTCTTTTTGCTCTTTTTCTTATACAGAATTTTCTAAATGAGAGTCTATGATTAGTGTTAAAAACAAAAAAGATAGTCTATGACATCTAGCCGTTGTGCAACTTTGTTATGGCCAGGTTGTTTACGTATACAACAAGTTATCATTGGGTCGCATAACATTACAGTCTGAAGATGTCAAACGAACTTAGACTTTAAACAAGTAAAGAAATGAATCAAATCAATTACATTAATACAACAACAACGTGTTATCAGAATTCTCTTCGAGAAGAGTGTTATCTACACACTGGAGGGTAGTCCGAAGACTTTTTCGACAATGATTGATTGATTCTGTTTCAATCAAGGGTCGATGTCAGAACGAGTTGGAAATTCAAGGCCTTGAAGGGAAGTCATGTTATCGAGATCTTCTTTAGAGTACAATGGGAGGAGCCAAAACGCCTTCTTCTTCCCAAAAACCTTCACAAGAAGACATCAATAACAAACGTATCAATTTAACTATAGATTCATGGAATGATGAAAACAAAAGGACTCACCTCCTCGAAGTTTTTCTTCTTTCCCAAGTCATATTTCCATCTGACTTCTCCATTTTTCTCATGCATCTAAGAAACAAAGACGATGATTCAGAGAAGAGAATCGTATGTTCAAGCTTTAGATTGTTTGTAGAAGCAAACATATTAGACTTTACCTCGACTGAAGTAGTGTTGGATGAGAGAAGAGAAAGGTGCATGACTACGAAACAAAGAAGGCTGAGAACGAACGCTAAGTTAAGAACTGCATCAAGGGGATAGAATCTGTAAGAAACATAAAGACGGAAAATGAGACCCCCAGAAAAAGCTAAGCACTTTCTGGGAAAAGGAGAGCGTGAAAAAGAACAGTTAACACTCACCAAATGCCAGAACGAGGGAGGCCAGTTTACCCGGAGAAGAAGAATGCTTTATAGCTTGGCTAAAGAATTCAATGAAGCTAGGAAGCAGGACTATAACGTCCAACATTGTCTCAAGAAAAGTATAGAACTACAAATCGTTAAAGGAGAAGGAATCAGCAAATCAACTAATCCCAATGCTCACTTAAACCATTTAAGAACCATAAGATTACAATGGAAAGGAGTTTTTTACCAGAAAGAGAAGGAAAAACTTGTAATTGCGTGCTCCAACACAGTTTACAATCCATACACAGTGATGATCCATCTTGAGAACACATCTTTGACCTGCATAAGGAAACACGAATCAAGTAAAGCTTTCGTACTAGAAACCCTTACATTGCGAGTTTTCACTACTAAGCACAACATTGTAGCAAAACGGATTTCGCCTTACACACAGAACAATGATGGCAACGAGGCGGCTTAACATTCCGGCATTTGGTACAATAACCTAAAGAGCCAAAAGCTCCTTGATCTGTCGAAGTACCAGCCTCCAAATTGTCACCACCTCCCATTTCTCTTCTGAAATATTCGGGAACAGAACCTGGGTCCGTAAAAACAGTTGTGAAGTAGCTCCACAACAACATTATCAGCTGCAAAGGACCAAGCAAGCATCATCTTATCAGAAATATAGTTGTAAATCTAACCTGAGAGAGTCTAAAAAAATTGAATTTCTATAACAATGATTATGTGTCTAAAGTGGTTCAAGCCTAATGAATTAACCCCAAACTACATTGCATTTTTCATTCTCATGGCGACACAAGTTTCATGGCACATCCCTAAGTTTAAGGTTTAGGGGTTAAGTAGCAAAAACCCTAGACTTTCAATTCCAGAAACAAAACCTAATCTGAAACGATAAGACATGGAAATTACCAGGAAATGAAAAACAAAGATGATTAAGGCAGCGAGGGCAGATAAAGCTCCATGGTCGCTCCGGATCAAGATCGGCCACCATGTGCTAACTACGACGGCGTAGTAAGATACACCAACGACGGCGACAACGAGAAGGATCATGAAATAGCCGAGGACTTTCAGACCGGAGCAGAACCGGAAAAGGTTCATCTCCAGCCTGGTCAAAGGGAGAATCGGGACAGCTCTTCGAGTCCGAGCCGGGAACAACCGCCGTAAAATATCCGGAGCCACGGTGAGGGATCGGAGGGATCGGAGTTTGCTTGATTCGGAGGACAACGGCGGTTATTTTATCGCCGTCGTGGAGCTAATGTTGGTACATATTTAAAGTAACCTTCTTCTTGACACAGAAGCTTTCATATTTCTTTATAAGGCCCATTAAGAGGCCCAGTAAATAAAAACAGCCACAAATGTTGCCGTTTTTGGTTATCGTGGACTAGACGAATAATCAGACAAGGTGCCACGTGTACTATTCGGTGGGGGGAGACAAATCAAATTTAATTGTTTGGAGGACTTTTTTGTCTTTAAAATTTCCCAGAAACCTCGTCGGCGAAATTCAAACAAATCAAAAGTCTTAAATTTCAGGATAATCCAAAATATTCGTTTGCATCAGTTTGGTTTGCATTGGGCTCTTAAACAATTCTATCACTTGGATTTTTTTTTTTTTTATAATCGTGAGAAGAAACTTTAGGGTTTCACTGTTTCAGTGTTTTGATTGGTGAATTATAAAGATGCAGCAATCTCCACAGATGATTCCGATGGTTCTTCCTTCATTTCCGCCCCACCAATATCACTACCGAACAGATCCAAAAGGTTTTTACTTTACTTTCTATCTTTTTGTCTTTTGGTTTTTTAGTCATATGTCTGTTTATGGCCATGGGAGCTTTGAATTTGGTTGTGTAATGATGTTTCTGAGTAGTTTAAACTGTTGTAATGAAGTTTCCTTCTTGAGTATGATTTGTTTTAAAGTGTCATTTTTACTGGAATTGGATAATCATGTTTGGAGTGAATTTGGCAGATTATTTGTATGAATATGAGATTGGGAAGCTTAGAATCTGATTGTGAAGATGACATATTGACAGTGAGTCACTTGTTGCTGGTTCTTGCAGTATCTTGATGAGAACAAGAAGCTGATAATGGCGATCTTAGAAAATCAGAACCTCGGTAAACTTGCGGAATGTGCTCAGTAAGTGTGGGAATTGTCTCGATACAATCCCGAGCTATGTTGTTAGCTTTCTCTGATGGTAAATGGAATGTTAATAATAATATAAGATTCTTGAATTTCTCAGGTATCAAGCTCTTCTCCAAAAGAATTTGATGTATCTCGCTGCAATTGCGGATGCTCAACCTCAGCCACCACCAGCTACACTAACACCAGGGGCCATGACTCCCCAAGCAGTAAGTTTCTGTTTTGATCAGTTAAAAAAAGAAAAAGCATTTCTGTTCTTATAGTTTGTGTGTTTGGTTTTTGTAGATGGCTCCTCATCCTTCAGCAATGCAGCCACCACCAAGCTACTTCATGCAGCAACATCAACAAGCTGCGGGAATGGCTCAACAAATACCGCCCGGGATTTTCCCTCCAAGAGGTCCATTGCAATTTGGTACCCCGCATCAATTTCAGGATCCGCAGCAACAATTACATCAACAAGCTATGCAAGGGCACATGGGGATTAGACCAATAGGTTTAAATAATAACAACGGACTGCAACATCAAATGCACCACCAGGAAACTGCTCTCGGCGCAAACAACGGTAATTTGTAGTTAACATTTCTTCAAGGTTTTACAGCAGTTTGGAACTTATTATCACATTACTGGTTTTCACCTTTTTTCTCTACCAAAAGCGGGTCCAAACGATACTAGTGGAGGAGGGAAACAGGATGGGACCAATATGCTCCAGAGTGGAGCTGATGGGCAAGGTGGCTCAGCCGCTAGACATGGCGGTGGTGATGCAAAAACTGAAGGAAAATGAGATGGAGGAAGAGGAAGTGATGCTTCTTGTTGTCTTGTTGATATTAATTAGGTTCTGCCTTTTTTTTCTCTCTTCATTTTCACTTTCTTTTCACGATGATAAAAAGAAGTTTTGTCATTTTATCAGGTACTAGTCTCTGTTAAGGGTTCTGAGACAATTGAGTTTCAGTTCCTAGATGGATGTGGAATGGTTCACATTCACATGTATTGTTAAAGTTGTTGTATGGTATTAGAGTCACCGGTTCGATTTGGTGTATGAACCGGTTTAGAATCACACTCAACTGATGATAGTTACCTCCCGGTTTGTGTGCAAATTGATTCCAAGGCTTGAGATGATTTTAGTCAAAGTAACATTTTGTTTAAATACATACAAACCAAAACATTATCTTTGGTTAAAAATTTTACACAGAATCAGCCGGAACCAAAACCGAATGGAAAATATTTCGGTTCTAATTCTGTATAAACATTCCAAATCAATGTGTTTAAAGTTTAATTAAGTCTTGTTGGATCGATTTCATTTATCGTTAAAATCAAGAAACCTTACAAAAGTTATGCATCGGGAAAAGCTTAATCCGAATAATGTGTTATCCATCAACACAAATTATTACCATAACCAGCTAGAGCAATTAGCCGATCCTCAAAGCAAACACAAAAGAGCAAATATTTGTAATGAATCCATAACGAATGAGAACGATGCACCAGAAGCAAAAGCACTCTCTCAAAAGTTATTCAGGACGTGACTTGACGATGAAATTCTGGCGACTGATAGGGTTCATCACGACAGGAGGACCAGCAACTCTTGGCCATGCTTGGAATTTCTCTTCAGTGGCAGCCCACCATTCCTTGTTAGAAACAGTTCCCGGTGTAGTACCTGTGAGAGTTCAGATCAAACCAATTTAGCTTTTTGATACATCATTAGTAGCTAACTTACGAGGTTCTTCAGAATCAAAACTTGCCTCCGAAAAGCTTATTATCAGAAATAACTTTGTCACACACGTAAGCCACTACCGCAGATCCAGCAAGGGCACCGATTATGTATGTAGCTCTAGACATCCTTAACCTGAAGTATATAGACAGAGATCCATAATCAAGCCATAAAAAAAGAAGGCGAAAACAAACCTATACATGACACAAATATCACATTTGGATAAAGCCACATAAATCAGATTATAGCTACAGTACTTAGTGGAATTGAAATTAAAGTTTCAAGGCATATTCAGTCATTACCAAGCAAATAAATCTCATACACCATTACATAATTAAGCAGCTGAATCAAAAAAAAATCCAATCATAACGGAGACGAAGAAAATGACATAAATCAATGAAAGCATCTGAATGGTGATTTTCCCACACATAATTGATAAAAACCGATCTAAGAAAATCACTGCTACCAAAAAATCTCGTTATATTCTTCCTAAATCGCACTAAATAACATATCAGCTAGCTTCGGATTTTTCAGAAGAAAGCGTGATAACGATTCAGAGATCTCGTGAAGACCAAAAATCGAAACAAATACACAGACGACTAACGAAAACAAAAATTATCAGACAGATCTGATAGAATCGGTCTTTCACAAAACAAGCATCGATTCGAGAAGAGTGATTAACCTGGATCGATTTCGAAGACGACGAAGGGAGAACAGAACGAACACGGAGGAGAGGCGCAGGAAATTTCGAGAAGAATCGTTGGTATGATTTACGTTTCTCGTCAAACTTGAAATTACCCAAAAGGGGTTTCCAATTGTGGTGTACACAAATTGGGCTATAATGGGCCACTTCCGATTATGTGATTTTATTCTAAATTGGGCCTTATTTGACTATTAGCCCAGACAAACCAAAAAATTCTTCCTTTTTTTTAAGATACAACTTTTTTTTTTGAAGATAAACTGTTTTGGCCCATTGATCAAGGATTAATTAATATTTTTATATCAAGAAGTCTGGATTCGATCCCCAGGTACTGCGATTTATTAATAAATTTGCAGATTAATGAAGGTAAGTGTGCATGAGATATCCAACGATGTACAATTATAGCCGTTCGCCAGGATTCTACGCAAAGAGAGAAGTGTCGTCATGTCGTAGATTATTTAAGGAGTCCGTCAAGAGCATGAAGAAGGAAGTGTCGTCCGTCCTTGATCTAATAAGGATCGGAAGGAATTGTCAGTTATAGAATCCATATGTAACAGTTCTCATAATTCGCAATAAATAATAAATCTAGACGTTAAAAAAAAAACAATGCTCGATAAAGAGTTAGGCATGGGCATTCGGGTAGGAGGGTCGAGACCGAATTCGGGTATTCTAAAAATTCGGTTCGGGTTCGGATCGGTTCGGATATTTTAATAAAAAAAAAGCAAAATACCCAAAAATAACAAAAAATACTCGAAATATTTTCGGGTTCGGGTTTTTTACTCATATATATATCCAAATCTAACCGAAATACTCAATTTCTCGAAAAAACATTGGTTACTCTTTACCCAAATATAAACAAAAGTATCTAAAAATAGTAAAATTACCCCAAAAAAAACTACTCCCTCCGTTCCATAATATAAGGCGTTTTGGATAAAGTTTTTTTGTTTCACAATATAAGTCGTTTTCGAGTTTCAATGCAAATTATATATTACTTTAATATTTTATGATTATTTATATTATGCAGTCTCTTTTATGATTGGTTGAACTTTTAAAAAGTAGATCTTCTTAATCGGCGTGTTTTTACCTAAAACGGCTTTTATTATGAAACGGAGGGAGTACAACATTAGTTACTTTTTAACCAAATATATCCAACTTTATCCGAATTACTCAAAAAATACCTAGTATATTCGGATTTCTAATTGTAGTTTTAGGTATTTTGGGTATTATAAGTATAAATATAACTAATATTTTTAGGTGTATATTTGTATTCGGATACCCACGGGTATTAGATTCGGTTTGGATTCGGTTCGAGTTTTTTCGGGTAAAGAGGTCTAGGATCCATTCAGATATATTTAAGAATCGGTTCGGATTCAGTTCGAATTTTTTTTTCAGATTTTCGGTTCGGTTATTCGGTTCTGGGTATTTTGTCCAGGCCTAAAAAGAGTCATGGCTTGTAGTCGTGTCGTAAAAAAACATAGTAAATTATGGATAGTAGTAACTAGTAAATTATGGATTTCTAACCTAAGCTGCATGGAATCGGAAGCGGGTACGTGGAAGGGGAAGCGTTTGGAAGCGGAGAAGCGAGTTTCTTAAAAAAATTAGGAAGCGGGTACGTGTTGGAAGCGTAAATATATACATATTATATATATATATATATAGATTTATTGAATATTTAATTTACTTTACACTAACCATTGGATATGTATATTGAAATATATATTTTTCAGCATATTTCTTCAAATTTTGAAATATATATTTTTCAAAAAAACTTTGTTAGAATTTCGTTTTAACTTTTAATTATGTTATTTTTGCTCAAAATCAGGTTTTAGAATGTGCTAAAGGTACAAATGCACATAAGGTTAAAATGGTCAAACTCTTTATAAAGTGGAACATCTATAAAGAAGAAGAAGACAAACACGTATTTACTATGATAGTATAATTTTATGTTGAATACCATTCTAAATAAGGCATAACCTAGAATTAAATATAACTGAACCGGGCATAATTTTGCATATGGCCTTTTTGCATGTGGACCTCGTTACATCGCAGCAGCATAATAGGAGAAGGGACCATGTGAAAGATAATTGTTTCTGACTTTCTGTCAAAGAAATTTAGGCCATGAATGGATGCTGTTTTTTAATTTGGTTTCTGAATTTTGTTTCTAGTTTTTGGATTTTAGATTTTAGTAGATTTTGTAATTAGATTTTTTGTTCTAGAAACCCCAAAAAAATAGTTTTTGGTTTTTGAGAAAAATAACGTAGAGAGAGTAAAAACTAGATTCCCTAGATTATAGGAGAACTAAAAATCTAAAATCTTGAATGGAAGATCACAACAAAAAAGTTTTTCTAAATTGTAGAGAAACCAAAATTTGAGAAACTTGATTGGTGTTAAATAAGTTTTTGAATAACAAAAAGTAAAAACTCTTTCAAAAACTACCAAACATTCAAGGCCTTAATTTCAAGGTCGAAACAATTAATATCGTATATCTCTTTAAAACAAAAAAAACTATATCGTATATATGAAATATCATAGGTTTATACAGTGGTGGAGCTAGAACTGGTATTTATGGGGGTCAAAATGTAAAAATAATAATTATAGGGGTCAATTTACTTAGTGTGTTGGTGTCAATTTGAAATTTTTAACCAAAAATTAACTAAATTTCAAAATTTTATGGGTGTCATATGACCCCATGCTCCTTAACTACCTACATAGACACGTTTTAACTTGTTGCGTAGCATATTTTCTTTTAGAAGAAATCTAAAACCATGATCATTAAAGAAAATAAAACATTTTTGTCCCATTACGAAATTGATATCTTGTGTTTTCTATGTGAATGTTGGATACAGAATGCTTACATTTCAAGCATAAAAAATAAAACATTTTAAACATTTTTTGCAATTAGTAATTAATTAGCAAACAAAATAAGAAAGATACAATGCAATTGCATTATTGTACCCTTTTCTTCTCTTTGCATTATTGTACCATTTTTTTGTTCTCTCTACATTATTGTACCCTGTATTTTTATTTGCATTGTACTAATATTTTTTCCCAAAATTAACCAATCAATATCTTAATATAACAGTACGTCCAACAATAATTAATACTTCATTACGTAGTTGACTTGATTTATTGGTGTTAACTAGCTTTCACTGAATTGTGGTCCTAACATTATAGGACAAGTGTGTTTGTCTATAATTCCTCCGTCTTCTAAATGGTTTCAGCCTATAATATTTCCAACTGATCAATTAATGAGTTTCTTTTTAAGAAAAAAATATATATATAATCTCTACATCTATTAAAAATTTGTACGATGTACGGTCAAAATTTGAGAAACTAACAGCATATATAGATATTGTTGTATCTCTCAGACTCTCATACCATCTGTAAAGATTGAATCGTGTTTTTAATAAGATAACATACCAAACACTTTGTGCTTAGCATGCCAGTGCGTAAGAGAAATAAAGTAAAAAACAGTAGAAATAAAGTACTCGTATAAGTTTACAACGAGATCAAACTTTTGATGAAACAACAAAACATTACTCGCTAGAAGGATTTGTGTTTTCGAATACTCATCAAGTTAAACAAAACTTCGAAAAAAAAACAAAAATTATTATTTTACCAAAAAAAAAAAAAAAATTATTATCCCATCCCATGTTGACGTCATGAAAAAAAACAAAATTGTTATACTTATAGCCAGTGAATAAGGGACCGCACCGCATTGTGATAATTAATGTTAAATTATACGTAGAAACTAGTTTTTTTTTTTTTTTTAAACGTAGAAACGATATACGTTTTTTTTTTTTTTTTGGAAACGATATACGTTTACATATATCATAAATATTATAGACATGTGGCGTTGATTTGTAACCATAATTAATCCTGCTAGACTAGTACTGTATGAACATTTTTTTGGTTGATGAACTTGTCTAAACATTTTCATCCAAAAAAATATTAGTTAATATAACTAAAATCATATATAGATAAATGAAAATAACATTGTCATTACTCGTTACATATAAAAGTAATGATACGTACTTTTTGTTTCCTGCTTTGGAATTTAGATCAAAGTCTTAATACGATAGTCTATTAATAAAAAAGAAATAATTAATTAATTTCGTAATTGACTAAACTGAGCTCAGTGATCTTAGGTTTCGGGAAAGTGTGGTCCTAAGCCCATCTTCGGATCTTAATCCTTCTGGAACCAAAACGACAACATCTTGAACCACAACCTGACTCAAGCGCGACGCATTCGCGTGTTGTACACGGCAATCCATTTCCATTAACGCACTCATCAACGCCGACGTTGGATGGTTCACATTCTCTGTCTGAACCCTAATTATGGCTTCGTATCCGACGACCTTCACTTGCACTTCCAAGTCAGAGACTCTGTTTGATTCTGAAGGTTTCTGGTTGATTTGGTACTCAACGGAAAACGGAGACGTATTGCTGCTGTTATTGTCTAATTTATCTGTCTCCGTCATTTTCGTCTTCAATTTCTTGATCTCAGTTTCGAGATCATCGATTTTGGATTTAAGACTTTCGATGTACGAAACGGCATCGGATAAGAGTGACGCTTTGTCCATTCGTGACACTTTTGGTACGATGGCACGTAGAGCGTAAAACCGGTGGTTTAGCTTCTCTCGCCGTTGCCTCTCCGCCTCCACGTGGGACAAAACAGGCGGATGATGTTTCTCTTCCGCCGCCACAGCTACATCCATCGTCTCAAGTTTCCTCCTCCGTTTTCTTTCCGATCCCGATTGTCGATTTCCGATTTCTGAGTGATCTGATTCCGCCGGTTTAGGATCAGAACCGGTTTGGTTAGTGTGTTCTGGGGTTTTACCCGACCCAAATATCGACTGGACCCGGTTTATAAAGTTCCGGTTTTGTATAATTGAATCAGACGAACCAAGTTCGATAATGCCATTGTTGATGGGTATGGAGACCAATGTGTGTACCCCGTGAAAACCGGCTTCTTTAGCCCTCTCGTAGTTGCTAAACCGGAGCTCGTCGAGACCGGTTAGCCAAACCAAAGATTCATCGAATATTTCCTTTCTCGGCGATCCATCTTCACTGTAAAACGATGTGGCATAGAACAACTCCAGATCATCTCCACCGTCCATCATCAGCTCACACTCGATGCTGTTAGTTGTATACTTAAAGAAAGAAACAAAAACAAAAAATCAAGGGTAAGAAAAATTATATGGTTTTCTTAATAGAATTTTTTTATAAAGTTAGATAAAAGAAATTTTGGATATTTTGATTAGAAAACATATATAAGAGGTAAAGAAAATGAACATTTTCTTGGGATTTGTTGTTCTTGTTTCCACAGAAATGACCGTCAACCCAAACCAAGTAAGACCGGTTCGATGGTTCATCAAACATCTTGTGCCAGAAAATGATGTAAGCCCATCGGTCCGGTGAGGTTTCCACGACAAACCGGAGTTTTTGTTGAAGTGCTAGATCCGCCGGAGAAGAGGACACTATGGCTGGAGTTTGTTGTGTAAAAGAGAGCGGAGAAGAGGACAATGATGGAGAGAAAGTGAGATTATACATTTCTTTTCCCGACCAAAGAGAAGACAAGTAGAAAACGATGAATAAGATTCTAAATTAATAGAGAAGAATATATTAAAGGACAAGAAAATAAGTTTATTTTCGATAAGTAATATCAAATTTTCATTAATGATTTTCGTGAATTGAAGTTTATGATAAATATTCCAATATTAGTCACGTGAAAACTGAATTGTTTTCCTTCTTTAACGTTATAAGAAGAAAAATTATCGTATAGTGTGGTCCAACTTTGATGAAATAGACAATATATCATTTAGGATTTATATAAAAAAGGGAGATTTGCATGTTAAGGCACTTATAGAAAAAGTTCTTACACTTTAGACACTTTAAAAACTAGAGGCACTTCATCATGATTTTGGGGAGAAAGTTGACGCTTCTGCCCCTCCGTAAAACAAACTCGATCTGTCGTGTTCGACAACAACACATTTAGAAACAAACCAGTGTAGTTGAGTGCTTTTTAGTATAGACCATTGGATTAAAAAAATACATATTAAGATCTATGGCTAAGATGAAAGAAAGGAAATCATAATTTTGTTTCTTCTATCTATGTTATCTGATGAGAACATCTCTCTCTTCGTCTCCACAAGGAGCCAAGACTTTATATCACTCTCTCTAAAACAAATCCATACAAGTATGATTCAAACAAAAATCAAATGGCGAGTTGAGGAATTTTATGAGTGCTAAGTATGTTTGGTGAGAGCAACAATGGAGTTTGTGAAGATCGTGTTTATGTTGTCAGATCTGATGAGAAAAAAGTCTCTCTCTTCGTCTAAATCTCCTTCTCTAAAACAACAATCTCTATTAACTCTCTCCCCTTCCATGGAAAATCACAGATCTTGAATATATCATATATAATCTTTTCATAAATTTTTCGATCTGTCGTCTTCCAAGCCACGCGATTCTGGTCATCCACAATCTTCGAGTTCGAAATCCACGAACTGTGAAGTTTAACGCCAAAGGGGAATCAAACCCAGGAAGAAGATGATCATTCATCCTTGGGACTCTCAAAATTCTAACTGTAAGTTTCTTTGATATTGTCTCTACTCAATTTTTTTCTGTTTATTTCAAACACAAGTTATATGAAACCCAAGTTCCATGAAACCCAAGCTAAGACCAAACATGTTGAAGATAGAGGTGGATTTGTATCCAATCTACCAGGTAAAGAACTGATTTGATAGTGTGTGTCTTTAATCATTGTTTTGTTCAGTTGATTATATCGAATGATTGTTGACATGGATTTTGTGGATGTGGTCTAATAATAGGTGATGTTCCTCGGGTGAATGGTCAATTAGCTGTGTCTCATGCTTTTGAGATAAGGGACTTAAGACACACTTGAGTTCAGAACCTGACATAAAAGAAGCCACTGTAGATAGCCAGACAGATGTTCTTCTCGTGGCCAGTGATGGCATTTGGAAGGTAATGGCACATTCTCTATATATATTACAATATAAGATCGATTCTGCTCTCGGATGAAACTATTCATCTCTTGTTAACTAAGTGTTATGAGACCATTTTTTTCTGATTACTGAAATGATGTTAACAGGTAATGACAAATGAAGAGGCAATGGAGGCTACGATGATCTTGATTTGGTTAATCTAGTGTGTCACGCTGTATGGGCTTATGGTAGGGTTAATGGTGAATTTGATCTTACGGTGGAGAATGATGTCCTTTGATAAGAATCTTGAGATATTGGTTTGGATTGGATGAGTGTATGGTCATATGTAACACGGAACGATATATAACTTCTTTTACATACTTGATACTTATGTCAGAGTTGAGGTCAAAAACGGAGGAAGCTAATCGGCGACACCGATCTATTAGATCGTCTGCTTAAGTACATAGTAGGTAAGGTGGCTTCTGTATGTCAAGATAGGTTTACGAAAAAACACTAAAATGCATATCCATTTGGTCGCCGCTAGATGGATACACCGTCATTTCTTACACTATATCCATTTGTTCGATGTTACATGGATATACCTCTACTCCTAAATGTCATATATGAACGCGTACTTGCGTATTGTCAATCATAGGAATCAGTCCATTACCCTTCGAAGATATGTTCGCCAACTTATAAGGTGTTCTTGTATTTTATTTTGGTGAACAATGTTTAGATATGTTCGCCATCGTGTCTCTGTTTGTGGAGCTAAACCATTTTAATTTAAGAGATGTAAAATATAGGATCATTCCTATGGTTATGTTCATATGACTTTAGGAATTATTGTGGAATAAGGTTAAACACTAAATCCTATCCACCATCTTTAGTGTCTCAGTCACAACAACAATATAAACCTTAAATGAGATGAAAGTTCGGTTTAAAGGTTAAAACACTAAATCCTACTCCTACTTGCTAAACCCAAACCGATATTTAACTTTTTTTTAAAATATATAATACTAAACCCTACTCCCTATCTACTAAACTCAAACAGATTTTTAACTTATTTTTAATATATAACACTAAACCCTACTCTCTACCTGCTAAACCCAAACCGATATCTAGCTTTGTTTACAATATAAACCCGAGCCGATATTTAACTCCTTTTAAATATATAAGACTAAACCCAAACCGATATTTAACTTTTTAAAAAATCTATAACACTAAACCCTACCCCTACCTAGTAAACCAATCTAATATCTAACTTCGTTAACAATATAAACCCAAACCAATATTTAACTTCTTTTAAATATAGTTAACACTAAACCCTATTCTCTATCTAATAAACCCAAACCGATATTTAACTTCTTTAAAATATATAACATTAAACCCTACTCCCTACCTACTAAACCCAAGCCGATATTTAACTTCTTTTAGATGTATAACACTAAACCCTACCCTCTACCTACTTAACCCAAACCGATATTTAATATTTTTTAAATATATAACACTAAACCCTACTCCCTACCTACTAAACCCAAACCGATATTTAACTTCTTTTAAATATATAACATTCACCCTACTCCCTACCTACTAAACTCAAACCGATATTTAACTTCTTTTAAATATATAACACTAAACCCTACCCCTACCTACTAAACCCAAACCGATATTTAACTTTTTTTAAATATATAACACTAAAACTTATCCCCTACCTACTAAACTCAAACCGATATCTAACTTTGTCAATAATTTAAACATAAAACGAAATGAAAGGTCGGTTTAAAGGTATAACACTAAACCCTACTCCTTACCTACTAAACCCAAACCGATATCTAACACTTTACAAGTAACCATCCACATAGTTAGAGTTGTATGGATCAATTACAATTTTTTTATTTACGTAATCATGTCCAAAATTGTTTATGGATGTTGTTGGATGCACCAGACCATTAACTGTTGTCCATATGGATAAAACACTTTGTAAAAATACATACGACAAGTTATATGAAACCCAAGTTAAGACAAAACATGTTAAAGCTTGATTAACCAACCTACAAAGTTTTTGCAAAAAAGCTCAATTAACCTGAATGCTAGATCAATATATTCTAAAAGAAACCAAAACATGGCGGTTTCTAAACCTTTTAAATAAATATTTAAAACGCATATTCTAACTTTAAATTTATGATCGTCGTCCACGAAGTTCCGTCCATCCGATTATTATAGCACATGTAGTCATTTTCAAACATTTAGAAATTCTTTAAAAACTAGACCCTAAAAGTTAATTTTACAAAAAATTAAATTTAAACTCAAACCCTAAAAATTCAACACCAAATCCTAATCTTCACGAATCTTCACAAGCATAGATAGTTAATCATAGATAATCATATATAGACTCTATGAATCCTTAATACAACTAGATTTCCTAGTGCTTATCACATTTAACTCTAGTCTATATAACTCATGCTTCAAGATACAGAATGAAATTAGTCATTAAATTTTTGCTATCTTCTCTAGCTACTTTGTACGCCTTCATCTCAGTTTTTCACCATCTACATCTTATCTCATCAAGGCCACAAAATGTTGATCACGCAAACAACTTATCGTCGTGAGATTATGCCCTTGTGGACATGTGTATCACTTTCTTCTATTATTCCAGAAATTCTTACACAAACACATATTTGATGTCCACGCGCTAATGACCATAATGTCATATTCTCGTGGCATGAACATATTGTCTTGAAGGTAGATATCTTTGCAAATTGAAAGAAAACTCAACAAATAATTTATCCAATATAAATTGTCCATTTACACTTGTCCAAACGGTTCGCTTTTTATATTTGTATACAAGGTCTATCCTAAAACATTCTTTAAAATATATAACACTAAACCCTACCCCCTACATACTAAACCCAAACCAATATTTAACTTTTTTCAAATATATTACACTAAACCATATCCCCTACACCTAGTAAACCCAAAACGATATCTAACTTCGTCAACAATATAAACTCACACCGATGTTTAACTTCTTTTAAATATATAACACTAAACCCTACCCCCTACATACTAAACCCAAACCGAAATCTAACTTCGTCAACAAATTAAACCCAAACCGAAATTTAACTTCTTTCAATTGATTCTAGCTTGATAAATTGATGTTTCGTTGAACCTCTAAGCTAAGATCACTTTACTTCGCATATGAGAATCAGTTATTTCCACATGGTCACGTCTAATTGGACAAGTTAACTTGTCCATGTTAACTTGTAGTTTGGGTCCATGTTAACTTGTCCACTTAGACTTGACCATGTGGAGTAATAGTGTAACATGACAAACACTTAGACCGTCCATTTTTCTTTAAACATGACAAACACTTGAACCGATATTTAAATCTTTTTAAATATATAACACTAAACCCTACCCCGAACTTACTAAACCCAAACCGATATTTAACTTCTTTAAATATATAACACTAAACTCTACCCCTTACCTACTAAACCCAAACCGATATTTAACTTCTTTAAATATTTAACACTAAACTCTACCCCCTACCTACTAAACTCAAACCGATATTTAACTCCTTTTAAATATATAACACTAAACCCTATCCCTACCTACTAAACCCAAACCGATATTTAACTTCTTTGAATATTTAACACTAAACCTACCCCCTACCTAGTAAACCCAAACTTCTTTTAAATATAAACTCTACCCGATGTTTAACTTCTTTTAAATATATAACACTAAACCCTACCCCCTACATACTAAACCCAAACCGAAATCTAACTTCGTCAACAATATAAACCCAAACTGATATTTAACTCTTTTAATATATAACACTAAACCCTACCCCCTATCTACTAAACCCAAATTGACCCGAATATCCAAACGCCCAGGCCTAGTTCAAGTTAATTAAGCATTGAGAATTGAGAACGTCAATGAAATCATGCATGAAAAGAAAAAATGAAATCGCATGATAAAAAAAGGAAATGATATATTTAAATTGAGGTAAGCATTGATCGAAGTTGAGTTATATAGATAACAATAAGGAGTTATTAGAAGCGATCAATGATCCTCATAGCAGCGTCAGAGAGTTGAGCATAGATATTGATTTGACTAAATAGTTGGGGAGACGTGAACTTGACACTTTTGAGATTGAATCGACATCCCAGGGGAAAGCCAAGCGCAAGCTTTATCGATCGGTTGGTTTTATCGTAATCACCGGTTTTCAGACTTGTTTTGGCTTCCGACAGTATTGTAGCTGCATTCGTCGACAAGTCCTTTTTGCAAGCCTCCAGAGCTGTTTTCACTTCACCTTTATCTTTCTTTGACGATAGATTTGTTATGTTGCTACACAATTTTTTTAAAAAATTGATATATTAGAAGATATTGTTATATATTGGTCATATAATATATATTTGGTTGTAAGTGAAAACTTGCTTGGTGATGATATGGAGGTGGGATTCGAGACAGTTTATGACGATGGCAGCTATGCCTAAATGGTTGGCATGAATGGAGGTTGGGTCGGATTCAAGACATTGCATGCATATGGCTGGGACGTCTGCATTGTGGCATTCATTTATCATCAGGTCCTTCTCGGCGCATATCGATATGGGAGAGATCACCACAAGTGTTAATAGCAGAAACTTGATCATCCTCTTCATGCTAAGTGTGATTTGATTATAGACTATATTTCTTTTTGAGGGGTGTGAATTGCCTATTTAAACTAAGAATATGGGACTGTGGTTGGTCATGAGTTATCTCTCGTACATACACTTGTTTAACCTCTTTAGTTTTACCTTTTTCAACTGACCATTCAAATGCAAACTGCTGTCTTATTTTACTTCATTTTGGTAGAAAGCAGATCACAGCTCTCTTTTTTTAATTATAATTTATACATTATATCTTTTGTGATCTCTTTAACTTTAATATATGTTTTAAGTTATTTGTTTTGAAAAATAAAATTTAAAAAATAGACATATGGATATTATTAGACATTGTAATAATATGTTTTATAGCTAGCAAATATGCCAGTAGGGTAATTAATGATGGCTTTCTAATTAATTAACAAAAAGTAAGTAAATAATTGTCTATTTATTAGTAGTTGTAACTTGTAAGTAATAATAAATTTCAAATAAAATGATTGTTTAATATAAACTTCAGTGTAGATTTTTTTATTATTTAGCTTTGATGAATATTGAATACTTCCTTAAGAGCATCTCCAAAGGAGACCTCAAATCCTCAAATATAAGGTTTTTGGTTCTCCAAAGGCAACCTCAAAACCTCAAATTTTAAGGTTTTGAATAGTGAAACCTCATATTTGAGGTCTCACTATTCAAAACCTCAAATTTGAGGTTTCATCTTTTTATTTGCATTTTGGTCTTCACAATTATTTCTATCTTATAAATACTTTGACTAATTTGTTATTTTAACATATTAAGCCTTAAAATTTTATGGCAATAAACGAAAATACTTGATTTCAACAATTAGTATCTCATAATCTACAAATAAAAAATAAAGAGACTCATCTAACTCTTCGAAATACATGGATTGATCATAGAAGCATTACGGAAATACTTAGGTTCAATAATTTGGTAATTTAGCTTTATTTTATGATTTCGTTTGTGTGTTTTATTATTGTTTTGTGCAATTCTATTTTATAACGTAATATCTTACTAATTAATATTGCTTATAATATTTTTAATATGTGTTTTATTGTTATTTATAAAAAATTTATGGTATTTTGTAATTATAATCAAAAGCAAAGACTATTCTGCAAAATAAAAAAAAATTTGAAGTTAAATTTAAGGTTTTACCTCAAATTTGAGGTCCTTTTGGAGATGCTCTAAAGATAGGCCCATAGACATGTTTATACAATGCGTCTATAATAAAGAGACTAACCTTTTTTTTGTGCGTGCAAAATTGTTTTAATTTATTCAACCCAAAAGCAATAAAAGAAACAAGGTTTCTGGAAAATTTAGGCCCATGAACTTTTTTTTTTCTTTTTTGTAGAAAGGCCCATGAACTTATAAACATGTTTTTGGGTTAACGAAGAATAATTCCTACCGCATCTAAAACCAATTGCTGTTCTGGCCATACAAATGGTCAAAGCCTCTCGTCCATTTCTTTCCACTTTCAAAATTCTTCAATATAATCCATCACTATTTTGTTTTACTTTAAAGAATCTTACGAAAAATTATATTCGAAATAAAATTTCGGATATACGTACTTGAAACAAAATTAAGAAGAGAAGACCAATGCATAATTGCATATTTAAGGTAGATTTTGCTTCACTTTTTTTGCAAGTGTGTGATTAAAGTTTTTGGGGCATATCATGAGGTTGTTTTTTGTGACCGTAAAGATTTAATGAACAACAATTGCGTAGACAACAAAAACGTAAGTAAATGCTGGTCAGATGAATTTAAAGATTTAGTGGATAAATTTCTTTACTTGATCAATAATACAAAGAAACTTCGTTTTCACATATCCTTATCAACGTAAACGTAACATAGAAGTTATATTGATGGTATCCTACTTCCTTGTCGAAATGATTAATCTACTGTAAAATAGTTGGCAAAGCCAAATTAAAGTCTTTTCTGATAATCTGAAGATTCGCTGAACCTCAGCCCAAATTTCGGAATTAATAAAAATGTAAAATTTCGATTGACAAGAAAACTCATAGAAGAGATTGAGTATACTCTCTCTGTTCCTAAAACAATGATGTTTTAGTTTTACACACAAATTAAGAAAAAGTAACTTTTATATTTTTTAATTATTATTTTGTTAGTTTAATAATATTAGTTTTACTTCCTTCCTTCTACTATTGGTCATAAACAAAAATAATAATGATGTTTTTACAAAACATCAATCTTGGTGGAACAAGTAAAAAACCCAAAACATCAAATAACTAGGAACAGAGGGAGTAGTAAATATTGTTCAACATAAAAATTATTTTATTATTATCACAAAATGATAATTTTCAAATTTTCATGATCGATCTGGCACATAAGCGTACAATTACTCATCATGAGACATATAGATATGAACAACAACAACAACAACTACAACAAGCCACACAATAAGGTAAAGATGAAATGAAGACCAAGATTTACCTACAGTCAGCACATGAGATAAGTATAATATCTATTAAAAAAACAGCCAGAACAATATATATGTATCAAACCCTAAAACACCGGATGAGATGGTTGTGATGATGATGGTGATGATCAAGGAGATTATTACCGAGAAATCTAGTGTTTTCTCGATCAATCAATCCTCGAACGTACCTAAACTCCTCAACGTGACAAGGGATCGTGATTGTCCCTTTTTGAGAAAAACCAAACTCTTCTTCAGCTTCCTTTAAGAGTTGCACAAACAAAGGATGATTAAAGTACATAACAGGAATCACAAATCTCTCTTGCTCTTCTCCTTGTCCTACCTTCACTGCCAAACACCCTTTTGGTACCTTTTCATGATCATGTTCATGATGATGGAGACGTGGGATGTGGAAGCTCCAGTGGCTCATGACTTTGTCTCCGCTACCCATTGGACGATAATATATATTAGTATAGATAATATATATGGTTTAGTTAGTTTGTTGCCATGGTTTCTGTCTCTCCCATGTTGGTTATTTTCTCTAGAAGATGGTTTTTGTTTTGCCTAGAAAGTGAAGGAAAATAACCAGGGTTCTTGGAGGGTTGTAAGAGATGGATGGTGAAGTCGCTTGTTGGTCATTTGCTTTTTTTTGGTAAGCTGTTGGTCATTTGCTTTGAAGATGCGTCTCTTTAATTGGTTTTAAAGAGAAGGTGATATTTCTTGTATAATATAGCAAAGTTGGAGTGCGCATAATTTACTTTATTTTTATTTTTTCTTATTTGGACCGAATTTGAATCATTAATGCTATAACTTTAAATAAAATATCGAATATAATTTACTTGAAATTTATGCACTCATCAAACAAACTTTAATCTTATCATATGTGTATATATTATTATGTACTTTTTTGTTCTTTTTCCTTTTTGTCATCATCAAAACGTAAATGATAATTATCCAGCTAACCCTAGATTAACGGAGATGATGACACATGTACTTGATCGTGATTATATTTGTAATTAAAATTCGCATCTACTCCGATTGTATACAGTATGTGTATATATATATATATTTTATGTGTATATATTTACTAGTGCTAATTATATAAGGATACGATGTACACGTTTTGATTTTAATTATCGAACGCTGGGTAGTAGTATGGTAGTTGATTTTGAGAAATTTCCCAAAAAAGCTGTGTGACATCCATCAAAGTAACGAAATGTTACTCATGCAACTAGTGTAGAATATCTGTGTAGAATATCTACTCATGCAACGAAATGTTAAAAGCCACAATTTTGTTTTTATTTATCCCATGGAGATATCAATAACAGGCGTGGACTCGTGGTTTAGTCAGTGGTAGGCAATTTTCGGTTCGTGCAAACCAGTGAAAAGTGGATTGGTGGGTCATCTCGTCTGTTTTACAGGTTTCATATTAACAATTAGTCAATTAGTAAAAAACTAGCGTTTGATTTACATATTTGGAATCTTACACATGTTGCCTTTCCCAAAAAGTATTTTCCATACGACTTTACTTTCTTCTTTCCTTCGCTAATAGCCTAATAGTCTTAAATCGACTCAATAATATGCTAACACATCAAGAATAAAGTGAAATTCTTGGTGGTGTCAATTGCAATATTGATTTGTTATTGTTTGTACTGTAGATTTATTTCTCCTCCAAAGACGATTCATTTATGGGAGACTCACAAAAATGCCCCTTTTTTAATATCCCTTTTCCAAAATGCTCCCTTTGACTGTCCATTTTTAAAAATACCCCTTTTTATGTACAAAATGACTAAATTACCCTTCTTTTAATAAAAGATATCACAAATATATAAGGAAATATAACAAAATTAGGTCCACAAAATACAAAATATTTTTTGGCGGAAAAAGTGATCCCGCAATTTTTCCCGCCAAAACACTTGTAAAAACTTGTAAAACCTTTAAAATACCTTGTAAAATTTTCCCGTAAAACTTTTTCCCGCCAAAAAATTTTCCCGCCAAAAATTTTTTTTTGCGGGAAAAGTGATTCCGCAATTTTTTTGGCGTTAAATTTTTGGCGGGAAAAATAATTTACAAGGTATTTTAAAGGTTTTTTCCAAGGTATTTATAAGGTTTTACAATGTATTTTAAAAGGTTTTACAACGTATTTACAAGGTATTTATAAGATATTATAAGATTTTGCAAGCTATTTTATAAGGTTTTTACAAGTTATATGGTTTTACAAGTTTTTTATAAGGTTTTACAAGTTATAAAT